GAATACTAGCCTGCTGCCACCGCTCATTTATCACGATGTGAGAAATCCTCATCGACCTGAACTTCAATGCTCTTTGCGTGTGAATTAACTGTTCGCAGTCGACCTATCAAACACGTCAAAGAAACTAATACGACGTACGTGTGTCGAAGCATTAAGCACTTCCCACAGGCAAGGTTCTGAATGACGCGCTTACCGATGAACTACACACTTCTAAGTTTTGCTGAAACTTTTATACCTCTTTTCAGCGTAGCGTGCATCGGCAAAGTTCATGCTCTGCGGTCATTCCAGTACAACTCACGTGGTTTTCGACTAGCCAAATACCGTGCATTAGGCAGTGGTTAAAGTTTCCTACGTTTCCTGTTTCCCCATCGTGGCCCTTTTTCCAAAATCAGACTTTGGCCGGATTTGTAGACCCTTTGATGCAGGTGACGTGAGGACCCCAGTCATATTTCTAAACGGAAAAAAATTAAGGAAAAATTTTATTTATTTTTACGAGGCTAACATCCATTTAAATTCTAACATTTGCTTTGCGTAATTTTTCGGAACCAAGTTTCTGCAAAACATCTGTAAATTGTTAGTACTGGAGAACACTGTTTTCAATTGCCATGAGAGCGAAGCATGACACATGTCCAGCAAGCGAACAACGACTTGCTCCTTCAAGCAGTCATTTGTACTTTGCCTAACGCTGGTGATGCTACGGTATATGTAGCAAAACGCGTCGGCAATAAACTAATGTGCCATCTGTTACATTTTGTGACCTAAACCATGAATCGTTCAAGTATTCATCCATATAACTATATACCCAGGATCAAAAAACGGAAGTATTTTTAAGGACATCTGTATCATCACGATAAGCTAATCCACGAGCTTAGAGAAATTTTATAGTTGAAACTACTCTGCAGTATTCGTTTTTATTGTGAACTGGACTTAAAATATTGACTCAATTTGTTCAAGTCCTTTGTGTCTAGAAATTTGTATCTTCAAAGAGTCTGATGTTCTGAACTTTTTTCATGTTCCGTAAACAGTGTAGATGCATGTTTCAGCCTGAAAATCCACCATCGGAAAACTGAGTTTTTGATACCTATATATTATGAACAAGAATACAGGCAAAGCTGCAAATGTTTCCCATTAAAAGTGTATACTTTGGCCATTCCCTTTCAATTTTATCACCATTCATAAGTTTTTGAATTATCAATGAATGCGAAAATCATTTTCCTAATCAGAGAATTGTCTTTCGGAAAAAAAAACATTTTGATGCTGGCAATCCACGGGATCTTGTTTGCCAAACGTCACGTACATCATTTGTCATATTTGAGTTTGTCCACAAGCCAATGTCATCTTGGTACTCAGATTCCAGGTGATCTATTTTCTTGTGGACAAGCTCAGCATCAACTACTGTGGCAGTGGCATCATCAGAGGCAACTTGAGCTTCCAGTGCCTCACTCATTTTGCCTTCATTGATAGCATTTGCTTTTTTATAGTTTGCTGTTCTGCAACTGCTTTGCGTTTAAACTCAATATCAGATATGTCTGAGGGCTGACTGAGCAATTCTTCATGCTCCTGAGACTTCTCTTGTTGTCTTTTTTGCTTGTTCTACTGTCAGTCTTCTTCTTCTCTGAAAAGTTTAATCTAAACAGGTGAAACAATAGGTAAATATTGATTTAATTGAATATTATTTATTTAATTTTCCGACTGATATCCCTCAACGGAACTGCCTGAAGCATAAATTAGAATACAGTTTACTGAAGCATGAGACTTGACGAGCTCAGAGCACCTTTGCTGAGTGAGGCACTCGTCGAAACTATATCAAATCCGGCTCAAAATAGCTCCTGCTGAAAAATAAGTAGGTCATAGGCTGAAATTAACTGCTAATTGATTCAGCATAATAATACTGATTGAGTTAGGTTAATACTGAATAATACAATGGCAAAATGCACATCATTAATTATTAAACGTGTTAAAATAAATTTCTATTGAAAGGGAAGTAGGCCTTTACCGCTATGCTGGACAAGTTGATACTATGCCATAAGACCTTAGCAAACCGAATAATGTCTGAATTATTGACATTCACTCTTAAGTCTCTAGCAAAAACTAATCACAACACTCAATAGTTTATCATATACGAGATATAATGACATACTATAAGTATTAACTTACCGTAGTAACTTTAAACACCCATGTGAGGCTTGTCAGATTTTGAAACAATAAAATTGCCGTTAGAGAGAACATTTTGCCGAGTTCCAATCAATAATACCGCTATTCATATTATAGAGTGTGTATGACGTCACAAACTGTCATACGCTATATGTAACCTTTTTTAAGTAGATAATTTAGGGTACTTACGCTTTGATTTAGCGTTCACAAATGAAAAAACTGTTCACTTGCAGAGACCCCTAGGCTGTAGCCCTTGAAGTCCATGCTTTAATCCAGCCCTGGATCAGACGTTGTCGCTTTTTCTTTGTGTCCATCATTCTTCACTTTTTTTTGCCGCTGGGCTTCGTCGACATCAGCAATTGGCTGGCGATAAACCAGTTGCTTACGATTCGGGTGACCTGTAGGCTTTCTCGATCGATGGTTCGCTGCAATTCGCTGGCAGCCCTCGGCCAACAGCGAGACCTTGAACGGGTGCTGTCACGTTGCACGGCCGCGAGCACTCAACGTGAGTGTGTTTCCCGTTCGCCGCTAGTCGGTTCTTTGCTTAGTCAGTGGATTCGTGACAACCGAACATCGTCGCGCCGATGCATCTACTAGCGCTGAGGTTCCATCCTCATCGTCCCTGCCACCTAGTCGCTGGACGTGGTCTTGAGGTATAGTAAGTCGATTAATTGTTCTCTTTGGGAACAGGCAACGAGTGACAGTTGACGCTGAAGCAAGCGCTCTGGATCTATGAGCATTGTCTACGAGCGTTGTTGTGTAATCACGGTTAATGGCCACTGACTGTAGTACGTTGCTACAGAAACCGACCAGGGAGTGTGTGTGTTGGACAGGGGGGAATCTGGCGGTACGGTCACAAATTCGTTGCATTTCCGCCGGTTCCGTCAAAAAACTGATTTCATTACAAGTTATTAAACTCTGGGCAATTTAGCCCCTGGTATCAAATTGTACACCACTGTCCATGAATATCGGGTGTAACGGAACAGCCCCTAGTGACGAAGACAAATCCAATACGATTTGTTTATGTCCAAACAAGCCGTAGTAACATGGCGAAACTTTCTACGAATGAAGAGATTATTCCGCTGTTTGTC